GGTTTTACAGATGGGAAAACTGAGGAGCACAGATGAGATGGGGCAGGCCAAAAGCTGCCCAGCAGGGAGGGCAGGGCTGGGATTTGCCCCCAGACTGGGCTCCCCCTCGCAGCCCCCGTGAGACTGCACGAGAGGGGCTCGGGCCATGGCCGGGGCATGGCACTGGTGCCACAAAGACGCCGGCAGTGCCACGACCAGGCCTCCCTGGGGATGCTCCCCCGGCCCCTTGTGCGGGACTTTGTTAGTGTGAGTGCAAGCAATTAGAGCAGGGAGCGTGGCAGGCGGCGAGCGCTGTGAAGGTGAGCGGCTCGGCTGCCCGGGTGCAGGCTGGGCCTGGCGTGGGGCGAGCACTGCCTGCTGCAGGTCCTGCCCCTTCCCTGGGGGCACGTTACTGCCTCCTGCACGGGACCAGCAGCTCGCGCGGATGCCGCCTCGTGCATCTCCATGATAGAGAGGCCTGGCGTTGAGGCCGGCTCCGAGCAGCAATAAAACAGCTGCTTTGCAGCAAGGGAACACGTCGACTTCTGGAGCGACCGGGCAGCAGACGTGCGCGGCAGCGTGCCTGGGAAACCGGTCCACAGGGGTGCTCAGAGGCTGCACCTCGCTCCCCACCGGGCCCTGGAGCATGTGAGGAGCGGTGCTCCTCACGGGACCCGTTAGCTCTGTTACCTGCCCCCCCCCAACCCCCCCGGAGCCCCTCTCCTTTGCGGACGTGGCTGTCTCGGTCTGCGTGGGGCTCTGGACACGAGCGCACACACCACTGAATAACCCGGGCAGCTCGAGCGCAGCCTGGCGCGCGGCACCCGGGCGGAGGAGTGCCCGCGCAGGAGCCGTGTTGCAGCGAGAGGCTTTGGGTGTCCCCTTGGCAAGCCGGTGGCTGCCGTGTGCTGTGGGAGTCCACCGCCGCGTCTCCTTTTCCCCATTAGCGTCAGGGAAGTGGTGGCAGGTGCTGGCTCCCAGGTACCTCCATCATCCCTGGGTGTCACTTCCCCGGGGCAGCGCTTGCTCCTCTGGACTGGGTCCGAGCCTGCTTCACCCTGGGATGCTCCCTTCTCTGTCCCATCGCCACCGGATCCTCCTGGCTTCGGCTGCCTCCCTGCCGGGGGTTACTTTAGAAGACCTAATATCATCCCGACGACCTGTGGCACGAAGCTGCATTCGAGTTTTCGGGCAGAGAGACTCGGCGCTGTCACTAGCCAGAACAAGCGGTTGCCTGCGCTGGAGGAGGGTGCAGTAAACATTAGCTGCTCGCTGGCACGTTGCTGCTTATTCATGAGCATCCTCTTTTGTGCGAGAAGTGACTGGGAACCGGGAGCGAGGCGAGACTTGTCACTTCAGAGAACTGGCTGAGCCGCCTTGCTGCAGGATTTCTGCAAGATGCATGTTAAAGAGGTCTGTGCTAGCTCAGAATTGCTTTCGGTCCACAGGAGAGAACTGGATCCCGTACTCGTGGAGCATAAGCCTCTTGGAATAACCCTGGATTACGGAGCGTAATATACACCGTCAAGCCTGCTCTTCTCCGCGTGGAGGGACATCGGCATTTGGAGGGGACCGCAGCCAGCGCTGCCGCTCCGCTGTTTGTAAACGGGTGTTTCTTTCAGTTATCATTCAATAAAACTAAATCAGCACTCCAAAAAGATCGATAACTATGGAACGCAATTAAGCCCCTGCAGCTGAGTGCATTTGGAGCATAACTGCTGATCTGAAGGGAGATTTGATAACAAGAAAATAGAGCGTTACTCCTCTGAAATCCTTGCTAACCTGATCTTCGATACCAGGGTTTAACTCATTTACCAGCCCCTCCGGCTCCCAGCACCAGCGGCGCAGCGGGCACGCAGCTCCGGGGCGCCGGCACCGCGGGACCCACTCGCGGTCGCGGGGGCTGGCGGGGGGGATCTCTCCGTATGCCGGGGCTCGTATTCACAGGGCAGCTCACGTCCCTGCTCCCCGCGGAGGAGGATTAGCACTCGGGGCGGCCTGCGCAGCCCTGTGCAGCGCTCAATCCTCTCCACGGCTGCCCGCAAGCGCCTCCGACACCCCGGCTCACAAAATCCATCAGCTCCCTCCTGTCACTTTAATCTGTTCTGCTCAGCTGCCTCTGACCGGCCTAATTCCCATGCAGAAATTTTAGCCTTTTGGTTCCAAATTTCTCCACCGTTTGCTCAGGAACCGAATGGGGAATTTTGCACGGCCGTGCTCGTGCCGCCCGGCCCCTGCACCAGGGCAGGCCGGCCGGCCCCGTGGGCTGGGGCACGTCTGCGAGGGCTGAGGAGGAGCCGCCATGCCCAGGAGCGAGGGCGGCAGGTCACATACAGAGATCGGGAGCTATATTTGGCAAGTGGCTCTCGGAGACGAGTGCGAGAGACGGCGATTTCCATGGGAAGGCAGCTCCGCCGAGCCGCCTGGGTAGATTGGAAAGGGGCGAGGGCCCAGGTGCAACTCCCGGGGCTTGATGGGATGAATTTGCAGCGTGGAGCAGTGGCAGCTGTTGGCCGCCGTCCGTAGCAGCTTGTGTCCAGCGTGCTTCAGATCGGGAGCGCTTGCAAGGCCTCTCCGGTTCCTGAGCGAGCGAGCCGGTGCCCGGTACCCTCGCCCCAGCTGTGCCCTGCGGTGTGGGAGCAGCCCGGCTCTCTGGCTTCACCCTCACCTGCCTGGGGGAGATGCCGCTCCTCATGTCCAGGTACTTAGGATAGACGCCCTCCTAGCCAGGACAGCCAGGCACCATTACAGGCATCGCTCTCGGGGCAAGGTGTGGGGCAGGTGTCGGCCTTGAAGCCGCGTGCGTCCCGGGTGCTGCTGCTGTCGGCAGAGCGGGGAAAGCATACAACCGTCATCACCTTTCTGCAGAGACCGTGACCTTGGGCAGCAGGAGCACAGCTTTGGGCGACACGTAGCTGCCTGCCCTGCAAGAGGCCAAGGGTTTCTGTCACGTCTTGCACGGGACCAGCTGTATCAGCAGGAGTGAGGGGAGACCAGCTTTTGGCAGGCAGCCCGGGGGTCCCTCGTGCCGTGGGCTGCGCTCTGGGACGCTGCAGGCAGGGTGTGCTGGTTTCTTGTGGCAAAGCTGTGGGTGAGCTGGACTGCAGGACACGGGAACCCTTTTCCCCCCGACACGGGCGGATCTTGGACTATTTTTCTCCAGTAATTGTTTTTAAAGTAATACCCCTTGCCCAAGGAGACACAGCCTCCGATGGGCTTCAGGGCTCTCCCAGCACCAGGGAAGACTCGAGCCAGCAGCGCCCTGGCCTGTGCCTGCAGCCTGGACGGCTTTAGGAGCCAGGCAAGCAGGTCCCGCTATTGCTCAGCACACGCACAGGGCACGCACGAGCGGCCCGCATCCTGCAGTCACGCACACGTGTCAGGGCGAGCTATCGCACACGTGCTGCGGTCCAGCCATGAAACAATGGCTTGCCGGGGGCTGCCGTGTGACACCAGTGCCAGGGCGGGGGCCCCGGTGCTGCTCGAAGAACCGCTTCAAGCCCAGACACGTGGGTTTCGGCAGAAGCCCGTGGTGAGGATACAGCTTCCCAGTGCGGAGCGGTGCTGCACGCGCTCCCCTTGCCCCGCGGCTGCGGCAGCGCCGGGCAGGGGCTCTTCTCCGTGCTCAGCCCCAGGCCCCGGCATGCCCCACCACCAGGCAAAGGGGGGAGCACTAACCCCCTGCAGAAACACCCCTCCCTCTGCTCCTCGGCCCCCGCGGCCGCCCCCCGCGGGCGACCGAACAAGCAGGCGGCCAAGCAAGCCGTGGGGTGTGTGCAGACAGCCAGCACCCCCGGGAACACGAAGCCCCTGCTCTCATTGCAAGCCTCCGGTATTTCGGTCTGTCAGGCCCAACTCCCCCCCGTGACAGCCTCCCCTGCCCTTAGCTGGGAGCAGAGGCGGGAGGGCCTCGCAGAGAGCACGGGCGCTGCGGGTCCCAGTCCCGGCGCCTTGCATGGCCTCTCAGGTCCTCCGAGTCGGTGCAAAGCGGGTTTTGAAAGCTGCTGGGGGGTCGCACCGCTCGTGGGCTCCAGCAAGCTGCAACCTTGCTCGGCAGCCCGCCGCTTTGCAGCCGGAGGCAAGTTTCCCAGGCAGTAACGAGGGTCTCGAGTGCGGTGCCCCGCGGGGAGGCCGAGCCGCCCTGCCCTCACTCGGGCGCTGGCTGCAATTCACAGCGCAGCACGTGCGCCAGCCGGAGGCACCGCAGCACTTCAGCCAGCAGCCGAGGCAGGCGAAGAGGTGCTGCCGTGCGCTTGCCAGGCGCTTGCACCGGTGGCCTGCGAGCAGGGGTTGCACTCTCCTGCACGCGCGCGGGCCTGGCTGCAGTTTCCGTGCAATGCGATAGCCTGTTACCCAGGAAAGGCTTGCTGCGCGTTAATTTATCCAGCAGGCAAATTCCTTTTGGCTAATAAAAGTGCTTGCACAGGAAGCTCAAAACCCAGCAGCAATTAATTATTGACAGAGCATGTGAATTAGAGATAAAAGAAAAGTCATTCTTTCTCACACACAAGATAGTAAATAAATTTAATTATTGTACTAGAAGCCAGGGATCTTATTCTGTATTAAGTTTTATTAGCTGAGACATTTAAAAGCATGTCATCATAACAAAAAGGTCTTGTGTAATCCTAAATGCACCACTTCGGTACATGGCTCTGAAGTGAATAGACTTAATTGAGCAAATGGTAGCAGATGGCTTGCTGTACAGACAGGTATTGTACAGGTTTATTGTCAATTAACTTTTGTCTACATATGCCTATGGCAAATTGACTGTATAATACGTTACTGAGACCAGTTTGAACACGTGGCGCGCACTTCCCACATCTGCAGACAAATGAGGCTGAGAGTGGCGGGGACTGTGGAGGCCGCCTGGTTCCCCGCTGCCACGCTCGCGGTGCGCTTTGTCGGCGCCGCACGGACCGGGCAGGGCGGGCTGGGGACGCAACTGCAGAGCGCGCGCGTGCGCGGGATCCGCCCGCAGAACTAACCTCTCTTCCCCTCTCTCCCGCTTCCTCTCTCTGCAGCAGCGTGATGCCCAAGACGCTGGAGGGGCAGATAACGATGGAGAAAACCCCCAGCTACTTCGTGACCAACGAGGCCCCGAAACGCATCCACTCCATGGCCAAGGACACCAAGCTGATCGTGGTGGTGCGCAACCCAGTGACCAGGGCCATCTCGGACTACACGCAGACCCTCTCCAAGAAGCCCGACATCCCCACCTTCGAGGTGCTGGCCTTCAAGAACCGGACCCTGGGGCTGATCGACGCGTCCTGGAGTGCCATCCGCATCGGGATCTATGCGCTGCACCTGGAGAACTGGCTCCAGTACTTCCCCCTGTCCCAGATCCTCTTCGTGAGCGGCGAGCGGCTCATCATCGACCCTGCCGGCGAGATGGCCAAGGTCCAGGACTTCCTGGGCCTCAAAAGGCTGGTGACAGAGAAACACTTTTATTTCAATAAAACCAAGGGGTTCCCTTGCTTGAAGAAGCCGGAGGACGGCAGTCCGCCCCGGTGCCTGGGCAAGTCCAAGGGTCGAACTCACCCCAAAATAGACCCCGACGTCATCCACAGACTGCGGAAGTTTTACAAACCGTTCAACGTCATGTTCTACCAAATGACGGGGCAGGATTTCCAGTGGGAGCAGGAAGGAAGTGACAAATGAAGGCGGGAGGGCGGGGGGGAGAGCCCCTCTGCTCTCGAGGGGACCGCCGTCAGCCGCTTGGACTCGCGCGTGGCAGGGCCCGGGCC